TATTAATAATTTAGATATTCTATTTTTTATTAATGAAGAATAAATTTATATTAAATCAATATATTTATAGAAATTTTTTTTTAAATTTATTATGATTAAAGTTTTGTAATTTTATTATTATTTTTTTTTTATCTAAATTATATTAAATAAAAATTTATTATTTTATTAAAATTTAAAAATAATTTAAAAAAAAACAATTATATTAATTTAAATAAATTAATAATAAATTTAAATTGTTTTATGAGTAAATTTATTCATTGCAGATGTGATATCATCACTTCCTTTTTGTAATTTATGTCACACACCCTCTTTTTCATTTTTCACATATATTCTGAGGACTATTTTTTTCATGTGTAAACTCCTATTTGTCAGATCATTTAGTATCACATGATATAGGGTTAGTTTAGGGTTAGGGTTAGGGTATAAAGGCGATGTATAAGGAGTATCGCCCCCTGCGATGAATAAATTTACTCTATTTTGATTTTTAATTTTCAAAATTAAAATATTTTTAGCTTTTAATTTATTTAATTTTATATATATTTAAAAATAATTTAAGTTATATTTAAAATAAATAAGCAATTAGGTTACTTATTTTCTAACTTTCAATTAACTTTTTTTAATTATTTAAAAGTAGAATAATAATAATATTAAATTATAAAATTGCTTGATTGAAATATTTTATAATAATAGATAATCATAATCTAAAATTTATAAATTAAAGTAAAATTATTATTCTTTTTTATTTAATAGTTGTATATTATTAATTAAAATTTTTTTGTTAATTATTGATCAATAATTTATATTTAATGTTGATTGTAATATATATATACATTCATAGTATATACATATAACAAATTTTACACGTATAAAACACTGAATCATAAGGAAAACCTGTGTTTCGTTTTTACAGAGAGAATAATTACATTTACAATTTAAACCTTCATACTAATAATGTTATTGTAATGGTGTAACTTAAAAATGTAGCGAACCCAGTAATATAATTTTTTTACAAATCCGTTATATTAGGAAAAAACATATAATAAGTTTAACCAAAAGCATTTTATGTTTAACCACCTAAAATTACTTTATACAGAAAATATAATTTAAATTATTTGTTTCGAAGACAAAAATTTTTAAGATAAGAACCCGATAAGATAAAGGAGTTTGGCGTAAATTTTTCGAACGATCCAATCGATAAATACCCAAAAAATAGTTATTCTATGATATTGGTAAATTGGTGGTACAAACCAAAATTATGCATTGTTCGATTTTGCATCACAGAATAATTTGTTTTAAAATCGTTATCGTAATGTTTGATAGGTTACAGTATATACGTTATCATGCATGTTTTTGAAAGTTTCATAAATTTTGTTCAAATTTCTTTTTTCACATAATCCGCTTTCCTCATTTTTGTCTTCTTTTTTTTTTTTAACTAATTAATAAAATTTTGGCTCTTTTTTATTTTTTTAAGAAAAAATATTATTAAAATTTGACAGGAGTACAAATTACTGGGATAAGGTCAGTTAATTGATATTAAATTTTTCTAAATATAAAAATCTCTAATTCAATGAAATTTACCTTTTTATTATTCTTTTAAACGTTATTTAATTCTTTAGCGATTAATTCAGGTAAATGGTTAAGAATTCATAATTTAGTAAAATCGGTATTTTAAATTAATTAAACTAATTTCAAAAAAAAAATTTAAATGGAAAGTTCAACATTACAAGTGATCGAGATTATTTGGAATGTCTCATAAAAATAAAAATGGTTTAGGCACCCCTCAAATGATTATGACATCACCAATTCTCCCTCATGATGTTGTTATGGAAGTAATCAATTATTTGGAAAATGATCATTGTACATTACATTCATGTATTTTAGTGAATAGATTGTGGTGTCAGACAGCAATTGAAGTATTCTGGAAAAATTTGTGGGAATTTCGAATAAAGGTTGGACTCACGGGAGATACATATAGATTTTGGGGAGCTGTCTTTCGAACGTTAACGTCATGTCTTTCTGATAGTTCTAAAGAACTATTGAGATCAAATGGAATCAAAATAACATTATATACCCCAAAAGTTCAATTATTTGACTATCCTGCCTATTTGAAGTCACTTGATTGTGTCGCAATATCAGCTATGATTGAAATGGTCACATATATGGCACATCAACATGAACGACCACGAAGGTTGTTATATATACAACATCTTTTGGAGCAAGAAATTTGTAAAATGTTTATAAATAAATGTGGCACGATTCCTGTTCTTATCCTAGATCATATTCCACTTGCATATTTTCCTGGAGCTCAAGAATGTTTCTCTTCACTTACTGAATTAAGATGTCATACGGCGGTGCATGAAACAATCTTTTTTGCGATGGCACAATTATGTAGAAATATTGAAAGGATAGTAATAGAATTTTTTGATGATGATAACCTCGGGTTGGCAGCTTTAATTGAGATGCAACAACATAATCTAAAATATGTTAAATGTTTGGGCGATGAACTTGGAGAAGATCAAAAATTTGGAGCTATCGTAGATGTGTTTAGAAAAAATGCGAATTTTTATACACAGCTTGATCTAGTGAAATTTCCTTTTATACGACCAGTGACGATTACAACCATGATGAATTTACAATCATTAACAATAAACTTGATTGGATCGCAACAAGAAGAAGCCTGGGAGGAATTGGCAAATGCTTATTTACCAAAGTTGGAAGTTCTCCATCTTCATTTTGATACATTATCATTGAATGTCACAAAGAATATTATAGCAAACAATAACGGAGGACTTTATAGTATTATAGTTGATTATGAGCCTGATGATGATGATCAGTCTGTGACTCTTAATGAAACTATTGTACAATATTGTCCAAAGCTAAAATTCTTGGCTACTTGGTTTTTGAATAATGAATGGAATGCATTAGCAGATATATTAATGAGATGTCAAGATTTAGAATGTTTAACACTTCAGGGTACCGTTGCAATTCAGATAGACGGTGATAAATTATTAAACCTATTACGTAAAGAATATACGCCAAAAGGTTTATGGAAATTAGGGTTAAGGGGAAGCTGGGTTTTCTCAAAAAAAACGTTGAGATTGTATTTGAAAGATTGTAAAGAGAAAAAAAAAAGAATTGCCTTTTGTTTTTCAGATAATGATTTAACGAATTTTAATGACATTAATGATATATTTGAGAAATATTATGAAGAAGGTGTTATTAGATGGTATAAATTTAATTGTTCGTTTGAATGGGATTCGTTTTGTACCTAATAGTTTATATGGAATGATATGTACAAATAATATATAGAATTCATACTTTTAATCAAAGCACATCATAGTGAGCTAACAGTGATTCAGACGTTCCCTCTGTTCAACATGTTTCTTTTTTTTCACTACAACGAGATTTTATTGAGCGTTCACTATAGGGAAATAAACCATATAAAAGAATTGAGGAATTCCAATTATAATAAGGATCACTTTAACGAGCTTTGTCTATTTCTTATTACATTTTTTTTATCTGTCAATTTTTTCTAAAAAATTTAGTAAGACAATAAAATATCTTTTTTTTTTTATTTCTTTCAGGAGTGGTAAGTTACTTAAATGTGTTATAAATGCAAGCAAGGAAATTTAAAATTTATTATCATACTTATCAATTATAATTATATCAATAATTATACATTAAATATATATATATTGTTTTTTTTTCAATCTACAAAATTATTAAATAAAATCATTCTCTCTTGTTTTAAGCAACTTTATTACAACCAGTACAAACCAATTTAGATTTTGCATCTTCATTAACGAAAGCTTTAAATTCACTACAACCGCATTCGCATTGAAATAACTTTTCACAATCTTCATGTTTATTATTACCTTCCGCATCAGCACTCATAACGCTCGAAGTAATAGAATATAAACTTGATGCATCACTTTTCCTTCTTCCACCACCTGTTATGCCACCCGTCGTATTCCATACTAAACTTTTATTTTGTTTTGGTTTAGAAAATAAATTTCCTAAATTATTTCCAAGTGCAGAATTCCAAGACCTAAAAAGTATGTTCAATTCAATACGAATTAATAAAGGAAAAATTTAATCAAAAACGAGAATATTTTCTTCCAAGTAAGTTCACCTTGTACTTCTAACAGAATGGGAATCATTATCATGAGAATGATAATAGGCACAATCTTGTCTAAATATCTTAATACTCCCGGAATAATCAGCACAAATAATAATATTTCCATCAGGATAAGTTTTACTGAGAGCACTGGGTAAATTTGACTCATGATTCATTGTATTTGTGAAAATTGGATCTCCGCATAATGCAATCAATTGTTTTGTTCTTGTTGGTGCAAATATTGCTGCCGTTACAATTGCGGAATGGGCTGTTTATTATAAAAATGAATATATTTCATTAACTTGTCAATTCTATAAGATTGATGATTAGACATAATTTACCTTCAAAGCTTTCATAACCAATTTTCTCTCTTTTAAGCCAACTATTACCACTATTTCCATATTGAGCATTTGACTGTGATTGATCTGTGTTGAATATATATACATGCCGATCCTCGGATCCACTGATAATATATCTGCCATCATCACTATTAAAAAACAATAATGATTGGTTTTTATAAAGTTTAATTAATATTACGCTATTTGTAATTAATACCTGAATGTAGCGCGAATTTGACTGTATGTATTTTCATAGCCTTTATATTTATACTCCAATGATTTATCCCTCATATTATACAATCGAATTCTCGAGTCGTTAGAACTGATCAACAGCTATAAAATAAATATGTAATTAATAAAATTATCCTTTCCACTTCAATAATAATAATAATAATAAAATTTACTTTATCTTGACCCGGTTTAGTTCCTGGCATAGCCTCGATACCGGTAATTTTCTTTCCATGAGAATTTCTACCACGTGAGCTTTTTACGTGGATTTGTGTATTATATTTTAATCCGTCAGTTTCATAAAACAAACATAAACCCGAAAAACTTCCAGCTACACATTTTTTCCCATCAAGAGTAAATCCTACTGCTGTTATTAATTGTTGTTGCGGAGTTTCCATCCAATCTGCTACTTTCTTTTCTGGAATATTCCAAAGTCTCAATTTACAATCTAATGATCCCGACAAGAAAAATCTATCGTCCTATATAAACATATTCGCAATTTATTAAAGATTACATTTGAAAGAAATTAATTTTAATAAATAGGTTACCCTTGGATGAAATGCAATGGCTGTCACGAAATCTGTATGTTGGAAACAGCATAAACATTCCTTCCGTGTAATATGCCATAACCTATAACCCCACAATGTTATATAATTTTAAAATTAATTCTTAATATTTTCTTATATATTTCCTTAAAAGCTTTACCTCACAGTCTTATCCATTGAAGAAGAAAGCAAAAAGTTATTTTTACTCCAACTTAAATCCAAAACATCAGCGGTATGACCATGATATTCATATAATGGTTTATCTCTCATCACAGGAGCTCCCAATTTCGATCCGCTTGATCCTTCATAAACACTTATTCCACTTCCCTCCAAAAAATGTTCACGTTCTTCATCACTTGATATAACAGCCCAAACTCTAACCACCGTATCTTGTCCTCCAGTTGCCAAGAACTTTCCATCTTTACTAAATTTCATTGTCCAAATTGCCCCAGATGCACCATTTTGTGTTGGATGAAATAATTCTTGTGCAAGAAACAACTTATCAAATTCTTTGAAGTGCTTATGTCGTGTTTTAACCTAAATTTATGTTATTGAGTTAGTTATCCTTCTTAAATATAAAAAGAAAAAATTAATCACCTTTATATAACGTGGCTGCGCTCGTCCGAAACCACTTTCTGTACCAAATACAGGTGCATTATTCCCTGTTACATTTTCTTCATCTCCTGTATCTTCATCTCCTTCGCCTTTTGCAGGATGCGATGTTCGTTTTTTGATACGATTAAGAAATTTTGATCGTCTTTTTTTCAAAAAGTTTTTTTTTTTGATTTTTTTAAATCATAAAAATAAATCTAATGAAATTAAAAAAAATTTTTTTTTTATAGATAAATTTAACCCACCTATTAGAAGCCTTTCCATCTTGATGTCTTCCACATTCATCATCGCTATCGTCTTTCCTTCCGCGTTCATATTGATATTCATTGATTGATCCTGATCTTTTCAAAATATGAAAAGAAAGTGGGTCAATATTTCCATTCGATTTTTTAATTTCTTCTTCTAAATAAGATGCAGGTATGTTTTTTCCTGTATCTAAATCTTTAACGTAGACCGTTAGATCAATAGGAAATTCACGTTTTCCATTATTATCAGAATTATCAATATTTAATTCAGACATGTTATTATTATCTGGCGTATCCTTATCTTGCGAGATATCAGTATTTATTGATGATGCATCCTCAGTATCAACTAATTCTTCTAGCACTTCTTGTTTACCGTCACCGGTTGAAGTATCTGTGATTGATATTTCTGGTATGGCTTGAACTCCAACATTTGAAATTTCTCGGGAATTATTTGTTGATGTTTGTTCTGCATTAGTTGTAAACATTGATACCAGCTCATTAGCATTTCTTGCTATTGAAGATAATATAGCTGTTGAATATCGATAATGTACTGGTTTTCCTTCTACATCATCCGTAAATGTATCGGATGCATCTACAAATGATTCGGCTTCACTTTCGTTCTCGGATGCCATGACAAATGTTTTTTTCTTTTTGAATAATTTATTATGATATACTGGAGTGTTATGATATCATATAATTTATATTTTTCAGTCTTAATAATGGTGTGCAAAATAAATTTAATTTATACGTAATTAGGTAAAACGAATCTGTTCAGATTTGCATTTAACAATTTACAAAGTTTGACGAAATATTACGTTGATCCTTTCCATTTACAAAAAATATGTTCCTAGATGTTGTACTACCGGTATATTAAATTGACTTAATGTATTTACCATTTTTATTCTAGTATAAAATTTTGTTTATCGTACATATTAATCCGAACTTATAAAAAAATTTACCCAGGATTTAATTGTCGTTTATGATAAGTATAATTATCTGGTGTTTCACAAAAAAAAAAATAAAGGTTAAAATTTCTTTAATTTCTTTGAATGTCTCAAATTCATTAATGAAAAATTCATTTACATCATTACAATATGGACAGTCTCCTCTTAATCTATTATAAATTTGTGTAGTTGAAGGAACAGCACGAAGCCACTGGATGGAAAAAAGATGTTAATTTCAAGTATTAATTACATAGAAACTTGTAAATTAACTTACTTCGTATAAACAAACTTGATGGAACGGTTGACCACATTTAGTATTGCTACAAGTTTGGTCTGGAATTACATCATCCAAACGATAAGAATAACAAATCCCACACGCGACGTTAAAATCTGATGCTGAACTTGTCTCAGGTGAAGGAAAATGTATCTCTAATATTTTCTCAAGATTTTGACGTACAGTAAACGAAAGATTCCAATTATTAAAATTCTTTGAAAGATTGGTTTTGAGTGGCGCAATGAAATTTTCTGCGCCAAATAAAGTATAATCACAAATTTGTTTGGGATTCAATTCATCCAATTTAACATATAAAGAACAATGATTTCCTAATGCAATCCTTCGTGATATATCACAACGCTTTGGTTTATCGGGTTCTAATACCCATGTATTGGCATCAATATCATCAAGCATTGACCAAATTTCTTGAAATTTCTCAAATTCCTAATGTTTAGTAAAAATACGTTAAATACCTCATAAATCTTTTCTAAAAATTATTTTTATACGCTTACCTTTAGATAAAAGGAGATTACTTCATTGAAACTTGTTGTTGGATTTGGAATTTTGGATGTGGAAGGTGGAAGGTCGGCTCGAACGGTAAGTGGTTTTTGTGGATAGGAGAACGGTAAAGAAATGGAAATTTTATGTTTTCGACCTGACGAGTCGCTGTAAAAAAGGAAAATTATTTAAGGATATGCACAAAAAATTAATATTTTATAGAACTCCATACTTCAAAGTTAAAGTCAAAATTTTCAGTAAAGGATCGAGAGATTCTAATTTGTCCCATCCGATGCCATCCAATTCTGTTAAGAGTGTTGAGTAGTAACTTTCACCTGGTATAGGTTCACGTTTGACACTTGTCATAATACTTTCCTAATGTTTAAATAAAAGTTAGAACATGATTATACATACTTATATTAAAAGTCATACTTAACAAGCAAATCTTTAAGATCTACAAAGAACTCGGTCAAAGTAGAACATTGTTCAAGACGCTATGATATAAAAAGATTATGCCTAATGTAAATCAAAAATTTTTTTTTTTTTTTTTTTTTTTTTTTTTAACCTGTTTTAAAGCTTTTTCATGACCAAAAAGTAATCTTTTAAGCTCTGGACTTCCATGTAATTTTGCATTTTTTAATGATTTAATGTTTTCCAATTGTATCTCAAAATGAAATTCTTGTCCCTAAAAAACCAAAAAAAATGATTCATGTTAGCTGTACATTTTTTTTTTTTTATTTTTTTTTTGTACTTGGAAATTTTAAAGTACTTTGACAGTAATTAATCCTTTATAAGATAATCCATCTACGTCCGCAAGCATAAGTAAAGGGAAAATTTGCGTCGCCATAACTATGAAAGTGGAGAATTATTTATCAAAATGATAATCAGTTTTCATGCGTACAACAAACAATTTCCTTTATATTTCAATATCTTTGCGATCTATTTACATTATTTACGTAGATCTTTTTGTTGAAATAATTGGATCCACGTACATATCTTGGCACATCTGTAATCTGTGACAGGTTACGTCCGATTGGGATCCGTAACCATATAAATCGAAACGCGGTTTCACAGATTCAAAGATATGCATGTTAGAATTTTTTCACACAGTTTGCGTAACTGATTAACTGATCAGAATCGATTATATAAGACCTTTTTTTTTTAGCTTTGGATACGTTTGATACGTACTCCCCCTTCCCTTACTTCTTACTAACTTTACACGCGAGAGAAAAAAGGGCATTTTTTACCTTGCTTTCTTTTATTTTCTTACTCTGTAAGTCCCCCCTCCCCTTACTTCCTACTAACTTTACACGTGAGAGAAAAAAGGGCATTTTTTACCTTGCTTTCTTTTATTTACTTACTCTGTAAGTCCCCCCCCCTCCCCTTACTTCTTACTAACTTTACATGCGAGAGAAAAAGGGCATTTTTTACCTTGCTTTTTTTTATTTACTTACTCTGTAAGTAAAAGGTAAAAAAGGGATTAGAAAAGCATTAAACTTCTCCTCCAGGATGTCAAAAATAGTTCCTGAAAGTTTTTACAAGCTTTTATGGAGATTCTACTGTGAAAAAGGCTCAAGAATTATTATCTGATTTTGAGTATTACTTTATTTCTGTGCCTTATGTTATTTCATTAACAACAAACATGAAATCTGTAGAGAATGTCTACTGTTCAATACTGAACACATTGGTTGGTCCCTGCACTGATCAATATATAAACATCTGTTGTTTGTTCAGTTTGTTAACAATAGGAAGTCACTGAACACATTAGTTGGTCTCTGCGCTGATCAATGCATAAGTATCTGTTGCTTATTCAGTTTGTTATTAAGTAACCATTGACAAGCATTAACACATTGGCTGGTCCTTGCGCTGATCAATACATAAAGTACCTGTTGCTTTGTTTAGCTGTCAATGACGTCCAAGTATATCTGATAGATGTATCAGAAATGTTATTTGCATAATAACTCTAAGGAATTTCATAAAAGCACAATATTTAGTTTAATACTAACTAATCTTTTTAATCTTTTAAAAAATGCTAAAAGATTATTAGACATTAAGAAATTTTGTGAACATCTAAAAACGATATCAAAGGAAACTAAATTACAGATTGCAGTTTCAGAAGTAAGTTCATGTAATGTGCATATTTATTATATTAAATTATATAACCTAATATTTTTTACAGCTTAAGAATATTGTTAATAAATCTGACATGAGACAAATCACTTCAAAATCTACGAGAGAGAATACATTGAAGTTTACAATTTCTCTGATCTTATTAGAATAAGAATTGGAATCTATGAAAGAGGATACATTGGAGCTCATAATCTCTCTGATCTTATTGGAAAAATTATGAGCGAGAATACATTAGAATTCACAATCACTTCGATCTTATTGGAATCTACGAGAGAGAATACATTGGAACCTATAATAAAAGTATCGACTTAAAAATAAATAAGATATGAAAGAAATATCCCAGATTATTCTGAAGTATCTGATCAAGAATATGAGCCTAAAAACAAATATATCATTTTAATTTTTAGTGTTTTTATACTAGTTCATATTTTTAGAGACTTAGGAAATATACGTTAAACTTTATATTTAAATCTAATTATTATATTAATATTTTGATTTCTCTTACAGGAAAATTATCACAACAATTCAAGAGAATCAAATTACAAGTATGATTGATGAATTGATGGTTAAACGCTATTTTTATGGTAAAAACTTTTGCACTCATTTTCTTTGAGATACATTTTCAAAATGATCAATATAATCGAGTATAAGCTAGAGAAAGGATGATAACATTGTATATAAAGACACTGAGCCTCTTTGAATCTGAAACTTTCCTTATAAAGAGTTAATCCTTCTCTTTTGTATAGTCTGAAAAAGGATAGAGGCGTCCTTATTTTTTTCAAGTTTTTCTTACTATAAATAAAAAACAGGACGTCTCGTTTAGTTTGTTTAACAAATTTTGCGAAGTTTTGCTAGGTTCTTCGTTAAGTTAATATTATGGTAAAAACTTTTGTATCTTCTTTACTTACAAATATAAGCTAGAGGAAGGGTGATGATGTTATATATAAAGACACTAAGCCTTTCTGAATCTGAAACTTTCATTATAAAAAGTTGATTCTATTCTTTTGTATAGTCTAAAAAAGATAAAGGTGTTCTCATTTCTTTTGAGTTTTTCTTATTATAAATGAAAAGTAGGCATCTCGTTTAGTTTTTTACCTAATCAATTATGGTACAGAATTTCTAGTATTTCTGACTTTTCTAGTTAGTTCGATTCTAATATTGATTCTTACATTTATGACACGAATTGTTTTCACTTTACATAAAGGTACCAACTATAGAGATGAAGCAAATTTGTTAAAATTTCAATATGAAATCCCTCATTATTAAAAAATGCTTATTTAACAGAATAATATTGAAATTTTGATAATAAATATGACGTGATACAACAGCAGAGCATTCTATAGTTTTCATAAATAACACATTAACACGAAAGAAATCGACGAGAACTTTTTAATACGAATAACCAATCTAAGTCTTTCATCTTAAATACAAGAGAAATTTCGCTTTGCAATAATTAATACAATTAAATTGCCTTTCTTTTAGTATATCTGATGTACTGATTATATTATTGATGGCAAATTTATATTATAAAAAAACTGTAGAGTAAGTTATAATTTTTAGTATGCGATGCGATGCTTAATCTAATATCAAAATAGATAATAATCTTTCCATATGATGATAAATCAAACTAAAGTTATTTCGACAAGTGGGATGAATTTTATTTTATATTCATTAGATTCAATGTTGATGATAGCAAATGTTAACCATTATAAATAAATATTCTATCAGATATTAATGAAAGAGTTAAGATTCCGCTCAATAAATGGATAATTCAGTTAGTAAAATTTTATTTTATATAAAACAAAACAGCTAAAGCAAATGCTTCAAAATTATACTAATATATTCTAAATAAATAAAATAACTTAGCAATAAGCTTATAATTTAAAAATATAGAATTAACAAGCAATACACTCATCATAATCATTTTGAAAACATTAATCTTGAAAAGATATTCATGATATTAGCTATTAAAAGTATTATACGTATATGAAATTTGTATTTGAGAATCTATAAAGAAAAAGTAATAAAATAAATTTACTACTAATATAAAAAAAATAAAACAATAATATATTTAGACTTTAAACTCATCTGTGTGATGTTATTGCAAATTTTACAAATATAAACTTTTTTGAAACTTGTGCTATACACATTAGTCCATAAATATCACACACATGAATTCTATAAGCATCTGCATCATTAAGTCATTCCTATATAATAATTTTTTGTAAGAAAGCAATAAATCTAAAAGATATTTGAAATTCATATAATACAAAATACCTTCAAAAATAAGGCTATTTCTGTGAGAAATTATACAATCTCGTTTCATTTCATTAAATCTTAATCCTCTTTCATAACTACATCCCTCAACTGATTGTCTAGTTAATATATTAATTAGACCTTTCTATGTGAATTATATATATTCAATTTATATTTAGTGCAATTTTAAATTAATTAATTGTATACTAAATGGAAAGACTTACTGAATTTTATCTGAAACTATATGTTTTAACCGTTGATAATAAGTCAGTTCAATAAAAATTTGTGCAGCTAATTTACGTCTAATATGACTATTATAGATAACTTCTAATCCACAATGGTAAAATCTAAAAGAATTAAGTTTTTGCGAAATGGATTGATTTTACGGTAACTTCAAAAAAGCTGTAGCATCACCTTCACTACCTAAAAATGCTAAAAGCTTTATGAATAAGCGTATACAATCACAAGTTATAATTAAGCCACATATATTATAAAATTTGATTTAAATTAATTACGTTAAACTCCTTAAGCGAGTTTCATTCAGGAACAATTTTTTTTAATCTCAGGCTCGAAAATTGAGATTTAGTAAATGATGGCTTATCAAATTCAAAACGGCATTGAGTCTAATTTTACATTTTTTTTAAAAAAAAATGTATAATATATTCCATATAAAAACAACAAAAATAGTACAGAAAAAAACCATTATTTCTTGCCTATCTTTCAAAATCAGAATATTTAATCGCTTACATTAGAGTTTCATTTATAATTTCAACTAGATCACGCTCAAAGTTATCAAAAAAATCTAACTGTTATACAATTCCTTTATTTTTGAAAAATGATGATACAAATTTTCAGCTCTCCTCTTATGTAAGATCTGTTTCATCATCATCCTCTTTAAATGCAGAGGCGTATTCTGTTACCAGAGATTCTATAAGAATGCAAAAGATTAAATTAATAATTTTGATTTTAAATAAAATGCGAATACAATCACATACCATTTGATTGATTGCCTGAAAGAGCTTCTGAACATGTATCATCATCATTCACAACCATTTGTAAATAATTATTTACAGAAGAATTTTCAAATGTGTATTCACTATTTGTATTTAGAATAATGTTAGATTATTCTTAACAAGATAGAGAAAAAAAATTATCAATGAACTAAGCCATCATATTAATTTAAGATATTTTTCTACATTCTGATTGTTGATCATATCTGATCACCTAACTTACCTAATAATATATATAGTTCCTATTTAAGCAAAGTGAAGATTTGATTAATTTGATTTTCTTCTCCTATAATTCGTTAATTCTTGTTATTTTAGTATGAAATTGAATATAAATCAAAAAAATATTGTTTGTCATATTTATTATTCTAATTATTTTTGAATTAAAAATTTTTTTTTGTTACCTTGTGTCATTGCAATATATAAAAAAAAAAGTGAAGAATGTCTATGATAATAAATTAAAAAAATAAATAATAATAATAAATATTTTTCGCTATATTTTTCTTGATAATTTAGTAATAATTTTATAATAATATCAATAATCTGCATCCTATTTTAGAAGGAGACTCGTTGAAATTTTAGCAAGAAACAAAGATCCTTTATGTAAAACGAAGACAGTTCGTATCATAAATATAAGAATCAATATTGGAATTGAACTAATCAGAAAAGCCAGAAATACTAGAAATTCTATATCATAATTAATTGAGTAAAAAACTGAATGAAACATCCTGCTTTTTATTCATAATAAGAAAAACTCAAAAAAAATGAGGACGCCTCTATCCTTTTTTTGGACTGTATAAAGAGTAGAATCAACTCTTTATAAGGAAAGTTTCAGGTTCAATGTCTTTATATACAATGTCATCACCCTTTCTCCAGTTTATGCTTGATTATATTAAGCATTTTGAAAATATATTTCAAGGAAAAAAGGTGCAAAGGTTTTTACTATAAAAATGGTGAAATATAACTAACCTAGCGAAGAATCTAGTAAAGCTTCGCTAAGAGTAAAAGAGGTCAAAATAAACAAAATGAGACTATATATATTTAATTAGGTTATCACATGAGCAATATCTCATTATACATCATCGCATCCCAAAAGTAAATTTAGATGTGATACAGGTGACAAATAATTAATATGATCACGTGATTAACTCCACATTAGACATCCCTAAAATTTAGTAATTTTATTATGAAAAATTATTCTAATAATTAATAAAGAAATTTATATAATAAAAGATGATTCTAAGCATAGGATTATATGATTAAAATTTTATTTTAAATGTTATCAAATCATTAAGAATATAAATATTAAAATATTAATGAATCATAATTATTAATACTTTTTTTGGGTGCCGTCCAAAATCTCGAAATCCAAAATATCGAAAGGTTAAAATCTCGAAATCCAAAATCCCGAATGGTACA